TCAATAGTTATGGGTTGCGGAAAATAAAAACTCAAAGTCAGTGTCTTTGAACATTAGAATATGGAAAAAGAACAATGAATGAAGGATTTTTTTTTAAACAGAAATCTCAGGCTTCTGACTGCGGTTAGTCTCATCCATGCAGCCTTCAGGACACTGCAATTAAACTTCAAAACAGAATCTTTTGGAATTTTTTTAATAGAAAATTTAGATCTTTTTATTAAATAGGCCGATTATAGGATATTTTAACACGAGAAAAATATTTTATTGAAATATCCCCTGGTTTCTCACTTCCTGTGTCACAATATGCTACAGAGGGGGCTTTTGCTAAATTATTTAGCATATATTTCCAACCAAAAGATTTTTCAGGCCTTAAAAAAAGGGCTTGAAAAATTGATGATTTTTTTTCTTTACATTGTTTGAATGAATAAATATTTTCCAGTATTCTGTTTTTTTTGTTTTTTTATTTTTCACTCAGAATATTCCTTTCATTTCTTGATAAAAACCTGCAAAAAAACTGATGCACCCATTGATAAATTACAGCACATGATGCACATTTTCATCATTCTATATAAACAAAACAAAAAAAACATACGTTATAATGCATTTTACAACCCAAAGAATCTTTCAAAGAAAGGTTATTTTTCTTATTTCACCTCCTCTAATTACAATGGCTGAGAGGAGCGGAGGCGCAGAAGAACATGCCAAAAATGGCAAAACGTGCTGCAAACACACGAATGATGCAAACTCATTCAAGCATGAAAATGCTGCAATTATTCCAAAATGGAAGCATACGGAAAGCTGCTGCAAATACCCAAAACAAAGCAAGTAAAAAAAAAAGTAAACTCACTTCCCTAAATGAAAGTCCACCAGACCGATAAGGGATACAGAAAAGGTCAGACAGCACCAGACCCTCAGTCAAGACAAAAAGGAAGCCCTGAAGAAAGTTGGAGGAAAGATAAAAAGGTATGTATTCCTTTATGTCTTTCTTGTGACTAAGTCTATAAGCTCTCTTTATCCTTTCTGACATGAAAACTGTCTTAGAGTTCCTATGGTGAATATTTTCTTTCTTGGACAGACTCAACTATGGAGCTACCGTAATTTTCGGACTATAAGCCGCTACTTTTTTCACAAGCTTTGAACCCTGCGTCTTATCATCCAGTGCGGCTTTTCTATAGATTTTTCATGAGTTTTGTGTTATCGTAAGAGAATTTGTTTTGCTTTGTTCCGCTGTTGTACGGCACTACTTTGCCCAACAGAAGGGCATGTGATAAGACCCGCAATGGAAAAGGGTGGTATGTTGGTCACATGTCCCTCTGTCAGGTAAAACAGTGCCGTACGATTTTAGCACGAAAAAGAAGCAACTGCAGCCCCTCCTCATCGGTGGGGCGTGGATGATGAGCAGCAATAAATAATTCACCAAACCTGGTCGCATGCGAAAAACACATTTTGCCCAAGTCTGCCAGTAGATTCTGACAGTGTGATCAAGTGTTAAAACATCCACGATCAGCAATGGATTTTGAAAAGCTGGACTGCTGCATGATGAACAGGAGGACACCGCCACTGCCCTTCAGAGTGCCTTTAATTCTGACACTAACAACTAGGAGATCTTTGGTTTTGAAAGTGACAGCAAAGGAGAGTGGATGACAAAGCCAATCTGAGCCTGTTTGTCTCCAACACTGATTTTGGTGGTTTTAGTGGGCAGGAAGAAAACAATGGCGATTTCGATGAATGACAGGCTTTTCTTTGTTAAAGCCTAAGCTGCACCTTAGCCCAAAATGTAGGCCCAATCGATTTTTTCTGGCATTTCTGTATGTTATTTTTATATAGTAGAGTTGTTAATTGTTTAAAAGGCACAGTACATGTTTTGTACTTGTAATTACAGGTAGTTGTACATATATGTAATAAGTTATGCAATAAGTAGCAGTATCTAATAAAAGGGATGTGTTCCCAAACAGCCATCTCTTTCCTCAAAATCCACTTTGTGCATATTCTCTTACATATAGTTATTAAACATTCAAACACCTGCAGCTTTAAGTCAGGGGCGGCTAATGTATAATTCAAACAGGATTTCCCACTAATTTTAACTTGTGCATCTAATATTCAGGTGCGCTTGTAGTCCAGAAAATACGATAGTTTACCATTACTCTCTAAAATAAATACCATGTGTTCATAGATAAGTACTTCTATGTTCCTTTTGTGTCTCTGCCTCTGTCTTCTTGAGCCCAACTCTGCCTCAGCAGATGGCCTCTCACACTGAGCCTGGCTCTGCTAGAGGTTTTTTTCCCCTGTTAAAATACGTTTTTCCTCTCCACTGTCGCTACATGCATGCTTGATGTGAAGCATTGCTATAAAATTAACCACACAATGTAAGTTATGTGTAGTGAAAAATTTGACCATAATATTTTAGGAGTCATCCTGTAACGATGGTCTTATGTTGATGGTCAGAGCGCCCTCTGGTGCAGATGTATGGTAGCATCATATTCCCCCATTAAGGGCGGATTATATTTCTTCAACCGCACACATCAAATGTCGCTTGGGTCTGGTCGTGAACCAGTTTTGCTGGTATGCTTCTGCACCATTGGTCTGTAATTTATAGCGACGCACAGCAGTTACCTGCCAAAGCGCTAGGGGGAGCCTATTCGAGAAGTTCGGCAGATGGTCATAAGAACTTGATTTTGGCAGAGACCTTGGCATCTTTATATAATTTGTTTTTTAAAAATGGCACACACAGAGAGCTGGAAAGGCGCACAAAGGACCAATCACAGCTGCTTTTTGTCTGCGCACTTCCGATTGATGTCTGCGCTGGTTTGCATCTGTCCAACACGTAGTCAGGATTTTTCTGAGGTGCGTGACGACGGTTGCAGAACCTCTGCTCGGAGGCATGGTCGCGCACAGAGACAGATTTTGATGGTTGCAGACGCTATGCGTCAGAAGCATAAATTGCCCTTTAGTCTGTAAATGATTGACTACAGTAAACACTTTGGATTCCTTGGTCTTGATAAAAAGTTACATAACTACAGGCCATTTAGCAATTTAGTCTATTGAACAGCAACATTTTCATCACAAAAATCCTGCAACTTCATCTGACTTGTCCTTTTTTAACTTTCTGCTGTTTTTGGTATTCGCATTTTTCTTTTTCCTGCTTCTGTTTATTTTACACTATCGATCAGCCTTTCTCCTTTGCTTGTTTTTTTAGTTGTTGTTCTTTCCCCTCTGTATATTATCTTTCCTAAGCTGTGTTTTTTTTTTTGCTGCATTTTCTTGTTTTTTGGTTTGTGTGTTTTTAGGTTTGCAATAACTCTATGTTTTCTGCATGTTTGCACCTGCAGATCTGGTGTAAATGTGCTGATCCTACCCTGCAGGAACCTTCTGATGGATCAGCTGCAGTCAATAGTGACTAAGTTGTTAATCAGATGTCACCTGAAGAAAGTCATGGGGAAAGTGGCACCACACCTGCAAGAGAGAACAGATTTCAGCTTAAACCTTCATTCTGATGGCATAATGCAATGAGACTGTGTGTTTCTTTGTCACACAAAACTAGCGATGCACAAATCCTTTGAAGTAAAATAGCGAATAAAAGACTACATTCTGTTAGATAATGTCACCCACCCCATATGTGAAGGTGTTTGTGAAGTGGCGAGCACGCATGAGCACTATCACAGATCATTCCTCCCAGCAGCTGCAAGAGTTCAAAACGATCACTGCTCCCAACAAGCTAAATAAGTTGTTTAAATTCAAGCTATTTTTGCAATTTTTTGTCATTTTAAATAACATGTTGCTGTCATTTTGCACTTCTCTACCATCACTGATATGTCTGGATCCATTTACTCTAAGTCCACAGCTATATATTTTGGTTATCTTCTTTTAGTGATGCACACTATCTATATTCAAAATGTATTTTCGCTCTTACTGTACAGTATTTATATTTTTGGTTTTAACCTTCTTTATTTTTTTATTTACATTTTAATGTCTATACTTGTGTGAAAGTTTTACTATAATGCCTGTCTGTTTGCTGTAGTTACGCCATAAAATCTGCATTATGAGACGGTAAAGTGATCTTCTATTCTATTTGGTTCTGTTCTATTTAATACAATTAACAGTTCTGATAGCAACTAAGAATAAACTGTTGCAAAGCCTGGAAATGTCCTAGTCTGAATCACCTCCCAGAGAAAAGGAATGAGATGTGTTTGTATTCCAGATGCGGAAAAAAATCCTTCAGAATGTCCGTAGGTCTGAAAAAGGATGCACTCGGCTCAAGTCCTCCAGAGTTGGTAGCTCTATACCACTGATGTTCCAGGCTGACCTAATGACCCTCTGCAGACCTTTTTATCCCATGATCTGCTAATGCAGTAAGTAAGGAAACTGGCACGCAGCAGCAGTTGTCCTTCAGCTAAGTCTGGCAGAACCAAATAATGTACAATTATAAGTGTTTACTATATGAAAAAAAAAAATTCATTTTGATTGTTGCAAATATACCATTGGCGATACCACTAATTGCTCCTGTTTCTCTAAGTTTTGGAAATTTCTTCTATCTCCATTAAAATCATGCTGATTTTGTTTTACATGATAGAGGGACAGACCCAGCCTTCTCTGTCACAATTCCAGCTGTTTAAATCATAAAAGTAGGTTATCTGCTATTTTC